CACTGTAAACTACATGGTACACTACACACTACACTACACACTGTACACTACATGGTACACTATACACTACACACTGTAAACTACATGGTACACTGTACACTACACACTGTAAACTACATGGTACACTATACACTACACACTGTAAACTACACGGTACACTACACACTGTAAACTACATGGCACACTATACACTACACTACACACTGTAAACTACATGGTACACTATACACTACACACTGTAAACTACATGGTACACTATACACGACACACTGTAAACTACATGGTACACTGTACACTACACACTGTAAACTACATGGTACACTATACACTACACACTGTAAACTACATGGTACACTATATACTACACACTGTAAACTACATGGTACACTATACACTACACACTGTAAACTACACGGTACACTACACACTGTAAACTACACGGTACACTACACACTGTAAACTACATGGTACACTATACACTGTAAACTACATGGTACACTATACACTACACACTGTAAACTACATGGTACACTATACACTGTAAACTACATGGTACACTATACACTACACACTGTAAACTACATGGTACACTACACACTGTAAACTACATGGTACACTACACACTACACACTGTAAACTACATGGCACACTATACACTACACACTGTAAACTACATGGTACACTACACACTACACTACACACTGTACACTACATGGTACACTATACACTACACACTGTAAACTACATGGTACACTGTACACTACACACTGTAAACTACATGGTACACTATACACTACACACTGTAAACTACATGGTACACTATACACTACACACTGTAAACTACATGGTACACTATACACTACACACTGTAAACTATACGGTACACTACACACTGTAAACTACATGGTACACTATACACTACACTACACACTGTAAACTACATGGTACACTATACACTACACACTGTAAACTACATGGTACACTATACACTACACACTGTAAACTACATGGTACACTGTACACTACACACTGTAAACTACATGGTACACTGTACACTACACACTGTAAACTACATGGTACACTATACACTGTAAACTACATGGTACACTATACACTACACACTGTAAACTACATGGTACACTGTAAACTACACGGTACACTACACACTGTAAACTACATGGTACACTATACACTACACTACACACTGTAAACTACATGGTACACTATACACTACACACTGTAAACTACATGGTACACTATACACTACACACTGTAAACTACATGGTACACTGTACACTACACACTGTAAACTACATGGTACACTATACACTGTAAACTACATGGTACACTATACACTACACTACACACTGTAAACTACATGGTACACTATACACTACACACTGTAAACTACATGGTACACTGTACACTGCACACTGTAAACTACACGGTACACTACACACTGTAAACTACATGGTACACTATACACTACACACTGTAAACTACATGGTACACTATACACTACACACTGTAAACTACACGGTACACTACACACTGTAAACTACATGGTACACTATACACTACACTACACACTGTAAACTACATGGTACACTATACACTGTAAACTACATGGTACACTATACACTACACACTGTAAACTACATGGTACACTACACACTGTAAACTACATGGTACACTATACACTACACACTGTAAACTACATGGTACACTATACACTACACACTGTAAACTACATGGTACACTGTACACTACACACTGTAAACTACATGGTACACTATACACTGTAAACTACATGGTACACTATACACTACACACTGTAAACTACATGGTACACTATACACTACACACTGTAAACTACACGGTACACTACACACTGTAAACTACATGGTACACTATACACTACACACTGTAAACTACATGGTACACTATACACTACACACTGTAAACTACATGGTACACTATACACTACACTACACACTGTAAACTACATGGTACACTACCACACTGTAAACTACATGGTACACTACACACTGTAAACCTACATGGTACACTATACACTACACACTGTAAACTACATGGTACACTACACACTACACACTGTACACTACATGGTACACACTATACACTACACACTGTAAACTACATGGTACACTGTACACTACACACTGTAAACTACATGGTGCACTATACACTACACACTGTAAACTACATGGTACACTATACACTACACACTATACACTACACACTGTAAACTACACGGTACACTACACACTGTAAACTACATGGTACACTATACACTACACACTGTAAACTACATGGTACCACTATACACTACACCACTGTAAACTACATGGTACACTATACACTACACACTGTAAACTACATGGTACACTGTACACTACACACTGTAAACTACATGGTACACTATACACTACCCACTGTAAACTACATTGGTACACTATACCACTACACACTGTAAACTACATGGTACACTATACACTACACACTGTAAACTACATGGTACACTATACACTACACACTGTAAACTACATGGTACACTATACACTACACACTGTAAACTACACGGTACACTACACACTGTAAACTACATGGTACACTATACACTACACTACACACTGTAAACTACATGGTACACTATACACTACACACTGTAAACTACATGGTACACTATACACTACACACTGTAAACTACATGGTACACTATACACTGTAAAACTACATGGTACACCTACACACTGTAAACTACATGGTACACTATACACTACACACTGTAAACTACATGGTACACTACACACTACAAACTACATGGTACACTATACACTACACACTGTAAACTACATGGTACACTACACACTACACTACACACTGTACACTACATGGTACACTATACACTACACACTGTAAACTACATGGTACACTGTACACTACACACTGTAAACTACATGGTACACTATACACTACACACTGTAAACTACATGGTACACTATACACTGTAAACTACATGGTACACTATACACTACACACTGTAAACTACATGGTACACTATACACTACACACTGTAAACTACACGGTACACTACACACTGTAAACTACATGGTACACTATACACTACACTACACACTGTAAACTACATGGTACACTATACACTACACACTGTAAACTACATGGTACACTATACACTACACACTGTAAACTACATGGTACACTATACACTACACACTGTAAACTACATGGTACACTATACACTACACACTGTAAACTACACGATACACTACACACTGTAAACTACATGGTACACTATACACTACACACTGTAAACTACATGGTACACTATACACTACACACTGTAAACTACATGGTACACTATACACTACACACTGTAAACTACATGGTACACTATACACTACACACTGTAAACTACACGTACACTACACACTGTAAACTACATGGTACACTATACACTACACTACACACTGTAAACTACATGGTACACTATACACTACACACTGTAAACTACATGGTACACTATACACTACACACTGTAAACTACATGGTACACTATACACTACACACTGTAAACTACATGGTACACTATACACTACACACTGTAAACTACACGATACACTACACACTGTAAACTACATGGTACACTACACACTGTAAACTACATGGTACACTATACACTACACTACACACTGTAAACTACATGGTACACTACACACTGTAAACTACATGGTACACTACACACTACACTACACTCTGTAAACTACATGGTACACTACACTCTGTAAACTACACGGTACACTACACTACACTCTGTAAACTACACGGTACACTACACTACACACTGTAAACTACATGGTACACTATACACTACACACTGTAAACTACATGGTACACTATACACTACACACTGTAAACTACATGGTACACTACACGCTGTACACTACACGGTACACTACACACTACACTACACTCTGTAAACTACATGGTACACTACACTACACTCTGTAAACTACATGGTACACTACACTATACACTGTAAACTACATGGTACACTATACACTACACTACACACTGTACACTACATGGTACACTATACACTACACACTGTAAACTACATGGTACACTACACACTACACTACACACTGTAAACTACATGGTACACTAAACACTACACTACACACTGTAAACTACATGGTACACTACACTACACACTGTAAACTACATGGTACACTACACTACACACTGTAAACTACACGGTACACTACACTACACTCTGTAAACTACATGGTAAACTACACGGTACACTACATGGTACACTACACACTGTAAACTGCACGGTACACTACACTACACACTGTAAACTACATGGTACACTACACTACACACTGTAAACTACACGGTACACTACACACTACACTACACACTGTAAACTACATGGTACACTACACGCTACACTACACACTGTAAACTACATGGTACACTATACACTACACTCTGTAAACTACACGGTACACTACACACTACACTACACTCTGTAAACTACATGGTAAACTACATGGTACACTACACACTACACTACACACTGTAAACTACATGGTACACTACACGCTACACACTGTAAACTACATGGTACACTACACTACACTCTGTAAACTACATGGTACACTACACACTACACTACACGGTAAACTACACACTACACTACACGGTACACTACACACTGTAAACTACATGGTACACTACACACTACACTACACGGTACACTACACACTACACTACACGCTGTACCCTACACGGTACACTACACGGTACACTACACGCTGTACCCTACACGGTAAACTACACGGTACACTACACTACACACTGTAAACTACATGGTAAACTACACGGTACACTACACGCTACACTACACGCTACACCACACTGCTCACCACTGACCGTGTCGTCCCACGTAGGTGGTGCTCACCAACCAGATGACGACCCGGGTGAGCGGCGAGCGGGAGTCTGTGCTGGTACCGGCGCTAGGTGAGGCGCCGCCCTCCTCCTGCCAGTAGACTGACGCACACAGGGACAGCTGCCACTGGGGGAGCCCCTAGGCTATAGACACACACACAGGGACAGCTGCCACTGGGGGTGCCCCTAGGCTATAGACACACACACAGGGACAGCTGCCACTGGGGGTGCCCCTAGGCTATAGACACACACACAGCAACAATCATCGCTACCCCTACTACTGACAGCTGACACACAGAGACAGCTGTCACTGGGGGTGCCCCTAGGCTATAGACCCACACATCAACAATCATCGCTACCCCCTACTACTGACACACACAGGGACAGCTGTCACTGGGGGTCCCCCTAGGCTATAGACACACACACAGGGACAGCTGCCACTGGGGGTGCCCCTAGGCTATAGAGCCACACAGCAGCAGCAGCAATCATCGCTACCCCTACTACTGACAGCTGACTGACACACAGAGACAGCTGACTGACACACACAGGGACAGCTGTCACTGGGGGTGCCCCTAGGCTATAGACCCACACAGCAGCAGCAGCAACAATCATGGCTACCCCCTACTACTGACAGCTGACACACAGAGACAGCTGCCACTGGGGGTGCCCCGAGGCTATAGACCCACACAGCAACAATCATCGCTACCCCCTACTACTGACGCACACAGGGACAGCTGCCACTGGGGGTGCCCCTAGGCTATAGACACACACACAGGGACAGCTGCCACTGGGGGTGCCCCTAGGCTATAGACACACACAGCAGCAAAAATCATCGCTACCCCCTACTACTGACACACACAGGGACAGCTGCCACTGGGGGTTGCCCCTAGGCTATAGACACACACACAGGGACAGCTGCCACTGGGGGTGCCCCTAGGCTATAGACACACACAGGGACAGCTGCCACTGGGGGTGCCCCTAGGCTATAGACCCACACAGCAGCAGCAGCGATCATCGCTACCCCCTACTACTGACACACACAGAGACAGCTGCCACTGGGGGTGCCCCTAGGCTATAGACACACACAGCAGCAGCAATCATCACTACCCCCTACTACTGACACACACAGGGACAGCTGTCACTGGGGGTGCCCCTAGGCTATAGACCCACACAGCAGCAGCAATCATCGCTACCCCCTACTACTGACACACACAGGGACAGCTGCCACTGGGGGTGCCCCTAGGCTATAGACACACACACAGGGACAGCTGCCACTGGGGGTGCCCCTAGGCTATAGACACGCACACAGGGACAGCTGCCACTGGGGGTGCCCCTAGGCTATAGACACGCACACAGGGACAGCTGCCACTGGGGGTGCCCCTAGGCTATAGACACACACACAGGGACAGCTGCCACTGGGGGTGCCCCTAGGCTAGAGACACACACAGCAGCAGAAATCATCGCTACCCCCTACTACTGAAAGCTGACACACAGAGACAGCTGCCACTGGGGGTGCCCCTAGGCTATAGACACACACAGCAGCAGCAGCGATCATCGCTACCCCTACTACTGACACACACAGAGACAGCTGTCACTGGGGGTGCCCCTAGGCTATAGACCCACACAGCAGCAATCAATCATCGCTACCCCCTACTACTGACACACACAGGGACAGCTGCCACTGGGGGTGCCCCTAGGCTATAGACCCACACAGCAGCAACAATCATCGCTACCCCCTACTACTGACAGCTAACACAGAGACAGCTGTCACTGGGGGAGCCCCTAGGCTATAGACCCACACAGCAACAGCAGCGATCATCGCTACCCCCTACTACTAACAGCTGACTGACACACACAGGGACAGCTGCCACTGGGGTGCCCCTAGGCTATAGTCTCACACAGCAACAATCTTCGCTACCCCCTACTACTGACAGCTGACTGACACACACAGGGACAGCTGCCACTGGGGGTGCCCCTAGGCTATAGACCCACACAGCAGCAACAATCATCGCTACCCCCTACTACTGACAGCTAACACAGAGACAGCTGTCACTGGGGGTGCCCCTAGGCTATAGACACACACACACACAGGGACAGCTGACACTGGGGGTGCCCCTAGGCATAATCGCTACCCCACCTACGACGTGTTTCCCTCCCCGCCCCCGGCCAGGCGAGAGCTGGGGACACGCGGCCACGCACCGTCTGGTGCTGCGCTGGGAGGGGAGGACCAGGTGAGGCCCCGGAGCGTCTGACACGGAGAGCTCTACGGCTCTTCAGATTCAGCCGGTGTAGGTACATCCTCTGATGTGATGAAGTAGCGCATAGTCCCGTGTACAGTGGTGTAGTGTATTAGTGTCGCGATGTAGTGTATAGTGGTGTAGTGTATTGTGTATAGTGGTATAGTGGTGTGGTGTATAGTATAGTAGTGTATAGCGTAGTGTATAGAAGCGTAAAGTGGTGTAGTGTATCATGTATAGTGGTGTAGTGTATAGTGGTGTAGTGTATAGTGGTGTAGTGTATAGTGGTGTAGTGTATAGAAGCGTAAAGTGGTGTAGTGTATAGTGGTGGTGTTTAGTGTAGTGTACAGCGTAGTGTATAGTGTAGTGTATAATGGTGTAGTGTATAGTGGTGTAAAGCGTAGTGTATAGTGGTGTAGTGTTTAGTGTAGTTTATAGTGTAGTGTATAGTGGTATAGTGTTTAGTGTAGTGTACAGCGTAGTGTATAGTGTAGTGTATAATGGTGTAGTGTATAGTGGTGTAAAGTGTAGTGTACAGCGTAGTGTATAGTGTAGTGTATAGTGGTGTAGTGTACTGTGTAGTGGTGTAGTGCACAGCGTAGTGTAGTGTATAGTGGTGTAGTGTTTAGTGTAGTGTACAGCGTAGTGTATAGTGTAGTGTATAGTGGTGTAGTGTACAGCGTGGTGTATAGTGTGTAGCAGAGTGTAGTGTATAGTGTGTAGCAGTGTACAGCGTAGTGTATAGTGTGTAGCAGTGTCCAGCGTAGTGTATAGTAGTGTCCAGCGTAGTGTATAGTGTGTAGCAGTGTACAGCATAGTGTATAGTGTGTAGCAGTGTACAGCGTAGTGTATAGTGTGTAGCAGTGTCCAGCGTAGTGTATAGTGTGTAGCAGTGTCCAGCGTAGTGTATAGTGTGTAGCAGTGTCCAGCGTAGTGTGTAGCAGTGTACAGCGTAGTGTATAGTGTGTAGCAGAGTAGTGTATAGTGTAGTGTATAGCAGTGTACAGCGTAGTGTATAGTGTGTACCAGTGTACAGGGTAGTGTGTAGTGTGTACCAGTGTACAGGGTAGTGTATAGTGTGTAGCAGAGTAGGGTTGTGTAGCAGTGTCCAGCGCAGTGTACAGCGTAGTGTATAGTGTATATCAGTGTACAGCGTAGTGTATAGTGTGTATAGTAGTGTATAGTGTAGTGTATATCAGTGTACAGCGTAGTGTATAGTGTATAGCAGTGTACAGCGTAGTGTATAGTGTGTAGCAGTGTACAGCGTAGTGTATAGCAGTGTACACCGTAGTGTATAGTGTGTAGTAGTGTACAGCGTAGTGTATAGTGTGTAGCAGTGTCCAGCGTAGTGTATAATGTGTAGTAGTGTACAGGGTAGTGTGTAGCAGTGTCCAGCGTAGTGTATAGTGTGTAGTAGTGTACAGCGTAGTGTATAGTGTGTAGTAGTGTACAGCGTAGTGTAAAGTGTGTAGCAGTGTCCAGCGTAGTGTATAGTGTGTAGCAGTGTACAGCGTAGTGTATAGTAGTGTGTAGTGTGTAGCAGTGTACAGCGTAGTGTATAGTGTGTAGCAGTGTACAGCGTAGTGTATAGTGTGTAGCCGTGTCCAGCGTAGTGTATAGTGTGTAGCGGTGTACAGCGTAGTGTATAGTGTGTAGCAGTGTACAGCGTAGTGTATAGTGTGTAGCAGTGTCCAGCGTAGTGTATAGTGTAGTGTGTAGCAGTGTACAGCGTAGTGTGTGGTGTGTAGCAGTGTACAGTGTAATGTATAGTAGTGTACAGCGTAGTGTATAGTGTGTAGCAGTGTACAGGGTAGTGTGTAGCAGTGTACAGGGTAGTGTGTAGCAGTGTACAGCGTAGTGTATAATGTGTAGCAGTGTACAGGGTAGTGTGTAGTAGTGTACAGCGTAGTGTATAGTGTGTAGCAGTGTCCAGCGTAGTGTATAGTGTGTAGCAGTGTACAGGGTAGTGTGTAGTAGTGTACAGCGTATTGTATAGTGTGTACCAGTGTACAGGGTAGTGTGTAGCAGTGTCCAGCGTAGTGTATAGTGTGTAGCAGTGTACAGCGTAGTGTATAGTGTGTAGCAGTGTCCAGCGTAGTGTATAGTGTGTACCAGTGTACAGGGTAGTGTGTAGTAGTGTCCAGCGTAGTGTGTAGTGTGTAGCAGTGTACAGTGTAGTGTATAGCAGTGTCCAGCGTAGTGTATAGTGTGTAGCAGTGTACAGCGTAGTGTGTAGTGTGTAGCAGTATACAGCGTAGTGTATAGTGTATATCAGTGTACAGCGTATGTATAGTGTATATCAGTGTACAGTGTAGTGTATAGTGTATATCAGTGTACAGCGTAGTGTATAGTGTGTACCAGTGTACAGCGTAGTGTATCGTGTGTACCAGTGTACAGCGTAGTGTATAGTGTGTAGCAGTGTACAGCGTAGTGTATAGTGTGTAGCAGTGTACAGCGTAGTGTATAGTGTGTAGTAGTGTACAGCGTAGTGTATAGTGTGTAGCAGTGTACAGCGTAGTGTATAGTGTGTAGCAGTGTACAGCGTAGTGTATAGTGTGTAGCAGTGTACAGCGTAGTGTATAGTGTGTAGCAGTGTCCAGCGTAGTGTATAGTGTGTTAGCAGTGTACAGCGTAGTGTATAGTGTGTAGCAGTGTCCAGCATAGTGTATAGTGTATATCAGTGTACAGCATAGTGTATAGTGTATATCAGTGTACAGTGTAGTGTATAGTGTATATCAGTGTACAGCGTAGTGTATAGTGTGTACCAGTGTACAGCGTAGTGTATCGTGTGTACCAGTGTACAGCGTAGTGTATAGTGTGTAGCAGTGTACAGCGTAGTGTATAGTGTGTAGCAGTGTACAGCGTAGTGTATAGTGTGTAGCAGTGTACAGCGTAGTGTATAGTGTGTAGTAGTGTACAGCGTAGTGTATAGTGTGTAGCAGTGTACAGCGTAGTGTATAGTGTGTAGCAGTGTCCAGCGTAGTGTATAGTGTGTAGCAGTGTACAGCGTAGTGTAGTGTGTAGCAGTGTACAGCGTAGTGTATAGTGTGTAGCAGTGTACAGCGTAGTGTATAGTAGTGTATAGTGTAGTGTGTAGTAGTGTCCAGCGTAGTGTATAGTGTGTAGCAGTGTACAGCGTAGTGTATAGTGTGTAGCAGTGTACAGCGTAGTGTATAGTGTATAGTAGTGTACAGCGTAGTGTATAGTGTGTAGCAGTGTACAGCGTAGTGTATAGTGTGTAGCAGTGTACAGCGTAGTGTATAGTGTGTAGCAGTGTACAGCGTAGTGTATAGTGTGTAGTAGTGTACAGCGTAGTGTGTAGTAGTGTACAGCGTAGTGTATAGTGTGTAGCAGTGTCCAGCGTAGTGTATAGTGTGTAGCAGTGTACAGCGTAGTGTAGTGTGTAGCAGTGTACAGCGTAGTGTATAGTGTGTAGCAGTGTACAGCGTAGTGTATAGTAGTGTATAGTGTAGTGTGTAGTAGTGTCCAGCGTAGTGTATAGTGTGTAGCAGTGTACAGCGTAGTGTATAGTGTGTAGCAGTGTACAGCGTAGTGTATAGTGTATAGTAGTGTACAGCGTAGTGTATAGTGTGTAGCAGTGTACAGCGTAGTGTATAGTGTGTAGCAGTGTACAGCGTAGTGTATAGTGTGTAGCAGTGTACAGCGTAGTGTATAGTGTGTAGCAGTGTACAGCGTAGTGTATAGTGTGTAGCAGTGTACAGCGTAGTGTATCGTAGTGTATAGTGTAGTGTATAGCAGTGTATAGTGTAGTGTATAGCAGTGTACAGCGTAGTGTATAGTGTGTACCAGTGTACAGGGTAGTGTATAGTGTGTAGCAGTGTACAGCGTAGTGTATAGTGTGTACCAGTGTACAGCGTAGTGTATAGTGTGTAGCGTAGCGTATAGTGTGTAGAAGTGTACAGCGTAGTGTATAGTGTAGTGTATAGCAGTGTACAGCGTAGTGTATAGTGTGTAGCAGTGTACAGGGTAGTGTGTAGTAGTGTCCAGCGTAGTGTATAGTGTGTAGCAGTGTACAGCGTAGTGTATAGCAGTGTACAGCGTAGTGTATAGTGTATAGCAGTGTACAGCGTAGTGTGTAGTAGTGTCCAGCGTAGTGTATAGTGTAGTGTGTAGCAGTGTACAGCGTAGTGTATAGTGTGTACCAGTGTCCAGCGTAGTACACGACCACCCTCGCACGGAGAGCTCCAGCGGGGAGAGGTTTTCGGTGAGTGAGTGGGGGCCTCCCGCGTGCATTCGCAGAGTGGCGACCGTCTACAAATCTCCGAGTCACCGGGAGGACAGCGCCTGCTTTGCCATAACGGTGAGCGAACCACCACAACCACCACCGCCGTCACCACCACCAAGTCATCGTCACCACCACCACCACCACAATCACCACCACCAACCAACCACAGTCAGTCACTAACACCACTACCACCATCACCACCAGAGTCATCGTCGCCACCACCATCACGATCACCCCCGGTGATTGTCACCATCACCACCACAGACTCCCCACCACCACTACCACCATAGTCAGTCACTATCACCACTATCATCACCACCACCACCACAGACTCCCCACTACCACCAGTCAGTCACTATCACCACTACCACTGTCATCACCACCACCACCACAGTCATCGTCATCACTACTAAGCACCACCACCATCACGACCACCCCCGGTGATCGTCACCATCACCACCACAGACTCCCCACCACCACTACCACCATAGTCAGTCACTATCACCACTACCACTATCATCACCACCACTACCACCACCACAGTCATCGTCATCACTACTAAGCACCACCACCACCATCACTACCACCCCCGGTGATCGTCACCATCACCACCACCAGACTCCCCACTACCACCATAGTCAGTCACTATCACCACTACCACTATCATCACTACCACCACCACCACAGTCATCGTCATCACTACTAAGCACCACCACCATCACAACCACCCCCGGTGATCGTCACCATCACCACCACCACAGACTCCCCACCACCACTGTCACTCACTACCACTCACCAGCACCACCATCACCACCACTACCACTCACCACCATCCCCACCACTACCACCGTTAGACATTGTATGACTGCATGTGTTCTTGTTAGCGTCCTTAACTTCATGATTCGTGAGCCGGGTGCCTGTGTTGGGAGTGGTTGCGGTAAGCACTACGCTACCTACCCAGCAGACACCCACCGCCAAAGTTCAATTCCCACTCGTGGTTGTAAACTCTTTCGCCGGCTCTACGGGAGGTCGTGGGTTCCATCCCGACCCTAACGATGCCTGCTGCTGTATATTTGGAGCGTGCGTCTCTCTCTCTCTCTCTACGTGGTGTGACGTTAACTACCTCGCCTGGAATGTGTACACAAATTTGTAGGTATGTGTGTACGTGTACGTGTGCCTGTAAGTAGACGTGTGTGTGTGTGTGTGTACCTGTAGGTCTGTGTGTACCTCTAGGTCTGTGTGTGTAGGTCTACGTGTGTGTGTACGTGTATCTGTAGGTCTACGTGTGTGTAAGTGTCCCTGTACGTATACGTGTATGTGTACGTGTATCTGTAGGTCTACGTGTGTGTACGTGTATCTGTAGGTCTATGTGTGTGTACGTATACGTGTATGTGTACGTGTATCTGTAGGTCTACGTGTGTGTAGGTCTACGTGTGTGTAGGTCTACGTGTGTGTACGTATACGTGTATGTGTACGTGTATCTGTAGGTCTACGTGTGTGTAGGTTTACGTGTGTGTACGTATACGTGTGTGTGTACGTGTCTGTGTACGTATACGTGTGTGTGTACGTATAAGTGTATGTGTACGTGTATCTGTAGGTCTACGTGTCTGTAGGTCTACGTGTGTGTGTGTACGTGTGTCTGTAGGTCTACGTGTGTGTGTACGTGTGTCTGTAGGTCTACGTGTGTGTGTGTACGTGTGTCTGTAGGTCTACGTGTGTGTGTACGTGTGTCTGTAGGTCTACGTGTGTGTAGGTCTACGTGTGTACGTGTCTGTAGGTCTACGTGTGTGTGTGTAGGTCTACGTGTGTGTGTACGTGTCTGTAGGTCTACGTGTGTGTGTGTAGGTCTACGTGTGTGTGTACGTGTGTCTGTAGGTCTACGTGTGTGTGTACGTGTGTCTGTAGGTGTGTGTGTGTGTGTACGTGTGTCTGTAGGTCTACGTGTGTGTGTACGTGTGTCTGTAGGTCTACGTGTGTGTAAGTCTACGTGTGTACGTGTCTGTAGGTCTACGTGTGTGTGTGTAGGTCTACGTGTGTGTGTACGTGTGTCTGTAGGTCTACGTGTGTGTGTGTAGGTCTACGTGTGTGTACGTGTGTCTGTAGGTCTACGTGTGTGTGTAGGTGTGTCTGTAGGTGTGTGTGTGTGTGTACGTGTGTCTGTAGGTCTACGTGTGTGTGTACGTGTGTCTGTAGGTCTACGTGTGTGTAAGTCTACGTGTGTACGTGTCTGTAGGTCTACGTGTGTGTGTGTAGGTCTACGTGTGTGTGTACGTGTGTCTGTAGGTCTACGTGTGTGTGTGTAGGTCTACGTGTGTGTGTGTACGTGTGTCTGTAGGTCTACGTGTGTGTGTACGTGTCTGTAAGTGTGTGTGTGTGTGTACATGTGGTGTGGGGAGCGGTAGTGTAGTAGCGGTTAGCTCTACGAGCCCCCGGGCCACACCCCGGGGTTTCGATTCCCCGCCCACGGTCGCCGCCACCCGGTGACGATCCCCTCAACCGGTCCCGGGGCCTCCCCTCGGTCGACTCGGCCTCAAACGAGTACCTGGTGCAGCGGTGGTGCGCGTAGTAAACACCGCCCGATGGGGACACAGAGGCGGTCCAGGCGCGGTGCTGGTCACCCACCACCCCCGCCCGCCCGCCCTCCCGCCCTCGTGTGCCGTGCCGGGTTGCTCGCCAACGGCACCTTGCCCCCAACGGTGTCTTTGTCTTCGACGGCACGCTCTGGCGTGGGGCTACACCGGTTCAGCCGGACGGGGTGAGGGACGTGCCGCAGCCTCCCGCTCCTCGCCACAGCCTGGAGTCCAACCCACGCAAACGGAGGCGCGGGGACGGCGAGCCCCCTCCGCCTCCTTCCCCCGAGGGACCCGCACCCAGCCTGGCCCCGCCGGCTAGGAGGTGTTGACTGCATCGCCCGGTGCGCGGGAGGTCGGGGGTTCGGAAACCTGCCGATGCCTGCTGCTGCATATTTGGGGTTTGCTCGCGCGTGTCTCTCTCTAACTCTGCCCCGTGATGAGATGGTGACTGCATCGCCCGGTGCGCGGGAGGTCGTGGGTTCGATCCCGACCCTGACAAATGCCTGTTGTACATTTGGAGTTTGCTTGTCTCTCTGACCGTGGTGAGATGTTGACTGCATCGCCTGGTATACAGGAGGTCGTGGGTTCGATCCTGACTCTGACAGCCTTTTGTACATTTGGAGTTTGCTTGTGTCTCTGACCGTGGTGAGATGTTGACTGCATCGCCCGGTGCGCAGGAGGTCGTGGGTTCGATTCCGACCCTGACAATGCCATTTGTACATTTGGAGTTTGCTTGTCTCTCTGACCGTGGTGAGATGTTGACTACCTCGCCCGGTGCGCGGGAGGTCGTGGGTTCGATCCCGACCCTGACAAAGCCTTTTGTACATTTGGCGTTTGCTTGTGTCTGCGTGTGGCGAGATGTCAACTACCTCACCTGGTACGCAGGAGGTCGTGGGTTCGATCCCGACTCTGACAATGCCATTTGTACATTTGGAGTTTGCTTGTCTCTCTGACCGTGGCGAGATGTTAAATACCTCGCCTGGTACGCAGGAGGTCGTGGGTTCGATCCCGACCCTGACAATGCCATTAGTACATTTGGAGTTTGCTTGTCTCTCTGACCGTGGCGAGATGTTGACTACCTCGCCTGGTACGCGGGAGGTCGTGGGTTCGATCCCGACTCTGACAATGCCTGTTGTACATTTGGAGATTGCTTGTCTCTGCGTGTGGTGAGATGTTAACTACCTCGCCTGGTACGCAGGAGGTCGTGGGTTCGATCCCGAACCTGACCATGCCTGCTGCTGTATATTTAGAGTCTGCGTCTCTCTCTCTCTGCCTCCCCCTCTGTGGTGGTCGCTGGATTCTTCTCTGGGGCCTCCGGCTTTCCTTCCACATTTAGAATCAACATCACCGCGCGTTTACATTTATTTGGCCACGTGGTGGAGCTGCTCATCATTTGGTGATGTCCAGCAGGTCGCCTGTCTGACACAGCTACACAGCACCTCAGTGGGGACTTACACCCTGGTAACACACACACACAGTCTAGTTTTAGTGTGGGTGTCTTTGGGTCTCTGTGAGTGGTTGGTTTGCTGTGGCTCTCTGTGGGTGTCTGAGTCTCTGTGGGTCTTTGAGTCTATGGATCTCTGTACTGACGATTACATCAGCCACGTGGTGGAGCTGCTCATCATTTGGTGATGTCCAGCAGGTCGCCTGTCTGACACAGAGCTACACGGCAGCTAAGTGGTATGGACTCACACCCAGGTTACGTAAATGTACTTTAGTTTTAGTATGGGTTTCTGTGGGTCTCTATGAGTCTATGGGTCTCTGTGAGTCTCTATGGGTCTCTGCGAGTCTCTATGGGTCTCTGTGAGTCTCTATGGGTCTCTGAGTCTATGGGTTTCTGTGGGTCTCTATGAGTCTATGGGTCTCTGTGAGTCTCTATGGGTCTCTGCGAGTCTCTATGGGTCTCTGAGTCTATGGGTTTCTGTGGGTCTCTATGAGTCTATGGGTCTCTGCGAGTCTCTGTGAGTCTCTGTGTGTCTCTATGGGTCTCTGTGTGTCTCTATGGGTCTCTGTGAGTCTCTATGGGTCTCTGTGAGTCTCTATGGGTCTCTGTGAGTCTCTATGTATCTCTATGGGTCTCTGTGAGTCTCTATGAGTCTCTATGGGTCTCTGTGAGTCTCTGTGAGTCTCTATGGGTCTCTGAATCTCTATGGGTCTCTGTACTATGACGACGACATCAGCCACGTGGTGGAGCTGCTCATCATTTGGCGATGTCCAGCAGGGTCGCCTGTCTGATACACAGAGCTACACGGCAACTCAGTGGTTCTCAATCTTTCCACGGCTACTCCTACCCCACCAACCCTCTTGTTTAATTGATTTTCGACCGAGTGTAGCCCCCCACCTACCCCCCCCCCCCCCCACCACGGTTCTATTACAATAAAACGATGTCACGTCAATGTCCTTCGGTTCAAGAGTCCCATTTAGTCCGAGGTAGACCCCCAACTTAGCCAGGCGACTGCAAGGCTTCTCATCATGATGGTGATGATGATGGAAACAGAAAACTCCACTCTGGGGACAAGCCATGTCGCATCATTTCAAAGTCGCACTCACTCCTCACCAACCCCACTCACTTCCTCACCACCCCCACTCACTCCTCACCAGCCTCACTCACTCCTCACCAACCCCACTCACTCCTCACCAGCCCCACTCACTCCTCACCAGCCCCACTCACTTCCTCACCACTCCCACTCACTCCTCACCAGCCCCACTCACTCCTCACCAACCCCACTCACTCCTCACCAGCCGCACTCACTCCTCACCACCTCCACTCACTCCTCACCACCCTCGCTCACTCCTCACCAGCCCCACTCACTCCTCACCACTCCCACTCACTCCTCACCACTCCCACTCACTCCTCACCACTCCCACTCACTCCTCACCACTCCCACTCACTCCTCACCACCCCCACTCACTCCTCACCACCCCCACTCACTTCCTCACCACCCCCACTCACTCCTCACCACCCCCACTCACTCCTCACCACTCCCACTCACTCCTCACCACTCCCACTCACTCCTCACCAGCCGCACTCACTTCCTCACCACCTCCACTCACTCCTCACCAGCCTCACTCACTTCCTCACCACCTCCACTCACTCCTCACCAGCCCCACTCACTTCCTCACCAACCCCACTCACTCCTCACCAGCCCCACTCACTCCTCACCAGCATCACTCCTCACCAGCCCCACTCACTTCCTCACCACTCCCACTCACTCCTCACCAGCCCCACTCACTCCTCACCAGCCCCACTCACTTACTCACCACTCCCACTCACTCCTCACCAGCCCCACTCACTCCTCACCAGCCCCACTCACTTCCTCACCACTCCCACTCACTCCTCACCAACCCCACTCACTCCTCACCAGCCCCACTCACTCCTCACCAGCATCACTCCTCACCAGCCCCACTCACTTCCTTACCACTCCCACTCACTCCTCACCAGCCCCACTCACTCCTCACCACCCTCACTCACTCCTCACCAGCCTCACTCCTCACCAGCCCCACTCACTCCTCACCAGCCTCACTCACTCCTCACCACCCCCACTCACTCCTCACCAGCCCCACTCACTCCCTCACCACTCACACACGCGTACACACACGTACACACACACGCGTACATACTCACACACGCACGTACACGCGTACACACAAGCGTACACGCGTACACACACATACACTCACACATGCGTACACACACGTACACACACACGTACACACGTACACACACACGTACACACACACGTACACACACACGCGCGGTGCCGTCACTAACGAGGCAAGCGGCGAGGCTTTTTGCTCCTCCGTGCGCTCGCGAACCTCCCAACTCATCGGTCGCTGAACTACTGACGAAGATCACCGCTAGCCCTCCCCCTGGCGACCCTCCACCCGACCCGCCCACTCCACATTAGCGTGTCCGAGGAGGCTTCCGTGGCCCCGGCCGCGCTCCCGCAGTCCCGTACCCTTTTTCAATATTGCACTGCTTCATACGGAGCGCCATAGGAGTGCAAACTTGAAAAGGTGCCGGACTGCAGAGGAGTTTGGTGAGGGGTGGTGGTGAGGGGTGTGGTGAGGGGTGGTGAGGGAGGCGCTCTGTCCCTCTCCTCGTCGCCACGGCAACTCGCGTCACCCTCGCGGCGGCGGCGGCCGCGGCCCGAACCGACGGGACAAAGACGGTCACCGATAAGTCCGTCGCCTGCCCCCGTCACCCTTCTACCGCTGCCGCCACGGCCTCCCGGTTCAATCTTCAGAGCCCCACCTGACGCTGGAAGTCTTCCGTGAGTGGGTGAGTGGGTGGGTGAGTGGGTGGGTGAGTGAGTGGGTGGGTGGGTGGGTGAGTGGGTGGGTGAGTGGGTGGGTGAGTGAGTGGGTGGGTGAGTGGGTGGGTGGGTGGGTGAGTGGGTGAGTGGGTGGGTGGGTGGGTGAGTGAGTGGGTGGGTGAGTGGGTGGGTGAGTGGGTGGGTGAGAGTGGTGAGTGAGTGGGTCAATGGGTGAGTGGGTGGGTGAGTGGGTGGGTGAGTGAGTGGGTAAGTGGGTGAGTGGGTGGGTGAGTGGGTGAGTGGGTGGGTGAGTGAGTGATTGGGTGAGTGGGTGGGTGAGTGAGTGGGTGGGTGGGTGAGTGGGTGAGTGAGTGTGTGAGTGGGTGAGTGAGTGGGTGAGTGAGTGTGTGAGTGGGTGAGTGAGTGTGTGAGTGGGTGGGTGAGTGGGTGGGTGAGTGGGTGGGTGGGTGAGTGGGTGAGTGGGTGAGTGGGTGGGTGGGTGGGTGCGTGGGTGGGTGGGTGAGTGGGTGGGTGGGTGGGTGAGTGGGTGGGTGGGTGGGTGAGTGGGTGGGTGGGTGGGTGAGTGGGTGAGTGGGTGGGTGAGTGGGTGGGTGAGTGGGTGGGTGGGTCAGTGGGTGGGTGAGTGGGTGGGTGAGTGAGTGGGTGAGTGGGTGGGTGAGTGGGTGGGTGAGTGAGTGAGTGGGTGGGTGAGTGAGTGAGTGGGTGGGTGAGTGAGTGAGTGGGTGGGTGAGTGGGTGGGTGAGTGAGTGGGTGGGTGAGAGTGGGTGGGTGGGTGGGTGAGTGAGTGGGTGGGTGAGTGAGTGGGTGAGTGGGTGAGTGAGTGAGTGGGTGAGTGGATGAGTGGGTGAGTGAGTGAGTGAGTGGGTGGGTGAGTGAGTGAGTGAGTGGGTGAGTGAGTGGGCGGGTGAGTGGGTGTGTGTGGGGGGGGAGAGAAGAGCTTTATAGCTCATCGGATTCTCCTCCATACAGCCGCTGGCCGCTGTCTCCCGCCGCCGCGTGCCCTTTTATATGTTGCACTGCTCATCGTCATCCAACAGGAGTGCAACAGTAAAAAAGCGAGCGACGGGGGAAAAGGTGTCGCTCACCCGCACGGTTGCTCACCCACACGGTTGCTCACCCCATCGCTCACCCGCACGGTTGCTCACCCCGTGGCTCACCCGCACGGTCACTCACCCCCTGCACCGACCCTGCGAATGATAAAAAAAAACTAAAACCAGAAGCGGGTCGGCGGCGGGGAAGGGGGCAGCAGAGGGAGCCGAGAGGGAATTCTCTCACGGGAGATTTC